ATGTCTGTGTGCATATGGCTCAATGAGAATAAAAAAGAAAAAAAGAAACAAAATAGTTTTCTAAAATTGTACTTTCATTTTTTTATAGTCCTTCTGTGGTTAGAGCTACACCTACTCATCAAATTATATGCAGAAATAAATGTTTGTTTATATGATAATATAGCTTTTAATCTTTTGTATATAAATTACATCTCTGGGAATTTCAATCCATAGCTGGCAGAAGGAGCAGTTATTTGAGAAAAAATCTAAGATGAAATGTGGTACATATAATTATATAATCTTTTGTAATTACAAAGCTATGCATTTTTTGTTTAAGAAAACAATATTTTCTGAGTCTTATTTGTAAAAACCAAATACTATGAAATTTAGTCTAGCTAAAAATATACTTTAAAAACTACCAAATAACAATATTCAATCTTATAAAATAAAATGCATTTAGACAAATGAATAATTGTTTTCCATACATATTCAGAATCGAGCATTAACTCTTCTGGGAACCCTTTTTGGGTTTCCCTTTAAGTACTCTTTTGCCTTATTCTCCTTTTTCCCTCTAGGTCTATACACACATCACAAATAAAACAATTATCAAATCACACTTTCATTGTATATTTGCTTTTCTGACATTCTGCTAGATTGTAAAAATTTGTAACATTGATATATTTTCAACCAGTACTTCAAATTGGGGAAGAGAGGAAATTTACTGGCTGCTTCCTATAAGTTCCAGTTATAGTGCCAGGGTGTTTTCCTTGCATAATTATGTTTATTACTGACAACACTGTGGGTAAATATTCTGATCCACATTTTCCAAAAGAGGCTGAATCACAAGAGCCTTTAAATGTCAGGACTGAAACCCAGCATTTAATTTTTAAATGACATGGGAGAAGTTCTAAACATAATCAAGTTTGAAAACCAGATTCATAATCTCTTTTCCTAAAAGAAATCTCAACAAAATTATAATAAAGGAATTTAAAAAGGCATCTAGTTGGAGGAAGCCATTATTGCATAATGGGCAGGATGGGGTTCAGACAACCTCAATCTCTCTAGTGCCATCATAGAATGCCAAACAATTAATTGAGCATAAAAGCAAAATATTTTTAACCCTAAAAATGAAGCCTACCAATTGACAAACCCAAGCATATGTAGAATCATAATTTACTTTTTATATTACCATGTTATTATATATAAATGGATAACCAAGTCTTATCAAATATTAGAATAAATCCTTCAACAGGAAAGATTGAGACCAAGGTTAAAAAAATGCAAATGACCTCTGAGAACATAGAGATAATTTGGCTAATAACAAGAACTTAAAAGTCAGAGATATTTAAGAAGATACTGTACTACCAATTTAAGAACAGGATACTATAAAATAAGGCTATGCAAAGAATATCAAAGTACGTGTCTGTGTGTGTGTGTGTGTGTGTGTGTGTGTATGAAAAAATTGGAAAAGAAATTTGTTGATAAAAAGAGGATAAATCAATGAGATCAAAAGTTGAAGTGATAATATAGGTCTATAGAGGATCCAACTATCAGGTTCAATATAAGACAAATAAAGATTGCAAAATCTCAGGAAAGAAAGTTATCAAGTAAAAAATTTAAGAGAATATTCCAGGGCTTATGAGAACTACTTCACAATTAAAGCATTTACTGTTTATTCAGCACAGTGAATAATAAGACACCCCCCATTAATACATTCTAGAATAATACCAAGTTATGATGGAAGATCCTAAAAACTTCCAGAGTAGGGAAGAACAGATGCATAGCAGAATTTCTCATAATAAATAATGAATGCTGCAGGGCGGTGGAGATTTATTTTGAGTTATGAGGAAAAATAATTACAACTTAGATAATAACATCCTGAGCAAAATATAAATCAAGCGTAGGATTAATATAAGGACATTCTTAGAAGTGAAAAATCTTGGGAAATTTACCTATCTATACTTTTTCTTAGAAGTTTTCATAAAGGTGAGTTCATAAGGATGAAGTGAGTAAATATTAAAGAAAAATATCTTATTTTCCATCTAAGGAGAAATAATGTTCAAGAATCACATTGCTCCAGTAGGTCCAAAAACAATCAGTTCAAATAAGTGTTATACTAGAAGAAAAGGGACTTCAAAGATTTTATGTACTTCTTTAGCATTTACTATTTTTTTCAGTTAAAATGATGGTGTCAAAATATATTGTGTATATATTAATAGTATAAGAAATAGGGAGGTTATGAATGTAGCTTAGTGGTAGAATATATATTTACCATGTGTGAAGCCCTGGGTTCAATGTCCAGCACCAAAGGAAAAAAGAAATAGGAATAAAATATATTTTATTGTAGGAAAAGTAACAAATAAAAGATAAAATTAATGATATTGGGAGAAAGTAATATAAGGAAATAAGTGAGCTAGATCAAGTTGAATTAACAAAATAGTCACAAAGATACACTTACATTTATGGAGGTGACCATTTGAAAAACTAAAATTACGCATAACTGAAAAAATTAAAAGTAAATGCCTCAGGGACAGGATCTCAGGAGGCTGGAGTTTGCTTATTTCAAACTCTTATGCATATTTAAAATATTAAAGCATGTGCAAGTTAAATTTTGAGAAAAAAATTTAAAATTAGGTGAAAATTAGAAGATATATGTACATGTACAATATGATCACTATGCTACAGGCACAAATTACTACAAGTGTGAGTAAATATACATGTACACATGCTCAATTAATGTATACTTTCCAAATATTAAAAGCTTCAAGAAGCATCATAAATAGTGCAATAATGAAAAAGGAGAAAAAAGAAAGGACTCATGAAAAGTTCATGGGAGACTTTTAGGTTCAGCTGAGGATATATTTTCACAAACCATCTCTTGGAGAAACAATATACAGATTTCTATGGGCTGAATTTTTATATCAAAAACATAAATCACCAATGTAATGATATTAGGAAGGGGAACCTTTTGGAGGTAAATACAACATGGAACAGAGATCTCATGAATGAAATTAATACCCTCATATAAGTGACTCCTTCCACCATAATAAGGGCACAGGAAGGAAAAAGGGACTATGTATGAAATAGAACTTGGGTCCTTGCCAGATACTGAATCTGAGGGTATCTTGTCCTTCAACATATCAGACGTCAGAACTGTGAGAAACAAATTTCTGGTTGTAATCTACCCAATTTACAGTATTTCATCATAACATCCCAAATGCGCTAAGATGGAAAATTGGTGATAAGATGTAGAGATGTTTGTGTAACAAATATCTAAAAATGTGCAAGTGGCTTTGGAACTGAAAGTGGAGCTATAAAAATTTTGAGGGGCATGCTCAGCATAAACTATATAGGGTGATTCTGATAAAGGCTCAGAAGAAGAAAGCTGGAGAGAAAGCTCTAGCCTTCTTAGAGATTATCTGAGAGAATATGGACAGAATATAGGAGGACATATGGACCAAAAAAGGACATTTTGATGAGTTTTTATATGAAAATAAGAAACACATTATTGAACAGTGGAAGGAGATTCTTTTAAAAAATTTGCAAAGAACTTGGCTTAATATGCTTGTATCCTAGTGTTGAAGATAGAAATTGTGAGTAATGAAATAGGATATTTAGCTAAAGAACGTTCTAAGAAAAATGTTAAAAGTGTGGCTTCTCTTAAATGCTTATGGTAAAATTCAAGAAGACAGAAATAACTTAAAGATGAAATTTTTAAGTAAAAAGAAAGTAGATCTCAAAATTTTAGAAAACTATATCTACATTGAAGGATAAAATATATTTGGAGAGAGAACAAAGATGTGGCAGAGCAATTGTTTAACAAGAAAATTAGTATGGATCGGCCATGTTTATGGAAGCCAGATGCTATTCTTAACATAAAGGGAAAACTGACTCTGAAACATTTCAGAGACCATCAGTGCTGCCTCTCCCATCATAAGCCCAGATTTCCAGGTCCTAGAGGATGTAACAATGGGGGTAGGGGTGCACACAAGGACTTCCATGGGACCTTGGTGCTTGCTCCCCAGCAATATTTCTAGGCTCTGCTCTCCACATTTCAGTGTCATGGTACTTTGCTACCCCAATATATAGCACTTCAGCGAGCCAAGGTCTTATCTGGTATGTGGTGGCTGCCCTTCTGGAGGGAATAGGCCATAAATCTTGAATAGCTTCATGTGGTATCATCTCCAAAGGCACAGAGTTCAGGAGCCACCTGTACCACAAAAAGTGCATGTCTCTATATCTCAAAAGGTGCCCTGGAGAGCCTTGGGACTCAGACACAGAACTTCCATGGTGTAGGACCACTATAGAGAGCCCCAACTAAGGCAATGCAGAGCAGAGATGTGGTAGCAGAGTCTCCCCAAGACCCCATCCAGTAAAACCACAGGAGCAAGACTGCAGCTTTGGATAATCATAAATACATGATCCAGGCACACAGCCACCACAGAGATGAGGCCACCACAGAGAACTGCCATGAGGACAAAGTTCAGGCACAGAACTGTGATAGAGACTGAATTACTCAAAATAATGGGGATAGAGAGGAATGGCAACATTGGAGCTTCTTTAAGGTAGAATTTTGTTCCTGTTCTTTCATAGTTTCTAAATTTTCTATAATAACCACATATTGTTTTTGTAACAAAATTATTGTAAGTATCATATAGCCTACAAAGGTTATATATCTATAATTATGTAATTTTGGTTTATACTACTTCTAGCTTCCAACAGGAAACAGAACTGTGTACATAAATAAACAACTTATAATATTATCTCTATGGCTCATACACATGCAAAATAAAATTAAATGCATGTATAAGAACAGCTGTTTTATGTTGTTGGAATTATTTTACAAAATTAGTGAGGAATCTCAGAAACATGAATATTTTATCTCTCAGTGATGTTATTTTACTTTATATATATTAATTAAAAAATCCAAGTCACATTTTTAAAATAACAACAAATATTAAATGACTGGAGTTGATATGCTCAATAAATTAAAAACAAACAAACAAACAAAAAACACTTACTTTGGAGAAATAGTCACAACATTCCCTGCTTGGGCAAGAGAGAAGTCAGCAGCATCTCTTCCAACAATTGTAGCATTATACACTAAGTTTTTCATGCTTGAATTTTTCAATACAATCTATATAGAAGTAGAATAGGGTATAAATAAGATAATAAATTTAAAAACCATACAAATGTATCATCTCTTATTTTACCCAGAAGGTTATACATTCTAATGATGGAAATACTTATTGCACACTAACTGGGGGTAAGGCAGACTTTGTGTTTAAATACAGCACCTCTATGTAACTATGTATATATGTATCTATCAATCCATTCATCCATCCATCTATTCATCCATATAGTTTATCTGAAGTTGGCAATAAGGATCTTTCAACAAAGGAAATGTCACATGGAAAAATCAGTTGATCATCAAAAAGTTCAAGACAAAAATTAACAATTTATATTTAACGGTTATTGCAAAGGGAAATAATTGGAGTATTTTAAACAGAGAATTTGCCTATTATAATTTACAAAAAGGATAATCTGACTGCTCAATTCAGAAAGTATTATAAGGATGTAAGTTTAAAAACATAGCTTCAGTCTGGAAATGATCATGGCCTTGTCTAGAAGCAACAGTTTAGTTAGCATTGGCTGTCTCTTCCTAAACCAGTCAGGTACAAAGTATCAGACAATCATTAGTGATTATTATTAGTGAGAATATTTTTTGAAAAATGTCAGTCCACAAAGTGTTTATGTAGAATATATTGGGGATTCAAAAAGCAAATGAACAAAGAAACAAACATATTAAGAATTGACAAAGGGTTTGGGGTTGTAGTTCAGTGGTAGAGCACTTGCCTAGCATGTATGAAGCACTGGGTTAGATCCTCAGCACCACATAAATATAAATAAATAAAATAAAGGTACTGCCATCTACAACTAAAAGTATTTTAAAAAATGAAAGAAAAGAAATTGACAAAGATTTTTTAGTCCTTGATGAAATTCTAGCCAGGCTCCTTTGAGCTGTTTCACTAGGTTCTATCTTTGGGCATGTCCTTAAGAGTCCTATCATCCATCTATCTATCTATCTATCTATCTATCTATCTATCTATCTATCTGTCACTGGGGGCTGAAAAGGGGGCACACTACCATTGAGCTACATCCCCAGCCCTTTTTATTTTTTATTTTGAGTCAGGGTCTCATTAAGTTGCTGAGGCTGACTTCGAACTTATGATCCTCCTTCCTTAATCTCATTTATTGCTGGGATTATATACATGTGCCACCAAGCCTGATGGTAGTTCGATTTTAGCAGAATCTTGCTAAGTTAGTTTAGTCAGAATCTTCTTCCTTTAATATCTAATCATCCTTCATATTGGACCAAATTCTTCATCCTCCACCATCTCCCAAGTAGGTGTCTTCTGATCATCCTGGCCTTCCTGCAGCAAGAATTTTGTTAGGTTGGATTACCCAGAATTTTTCTTTGACCCTAATCTTTCCTCTTAGTAACTCTCCATTCCTTTCTTGGCCATAAATTCTTACTTAATCTTCTTATATTCAGAGTTGAGTTCAATCTCTCTCTCTCTTACTTCAAAATTGCATTGCAGTCCCTATATCTATTGCAACAGTACTAAATAAATTCTGCCTTATTGTTTTAACTATTGTCATGAATAATTTTTTACCAAGATGCCAGGATATCATGAAAATTACTGACCAAAAGAGGGAGAAGACTTGGTGAAAGTGATGACCGTGAAAATTAGAGTGAAGCAAAGGTGACTAAACCATAAGTAGTCCCCAGGAGCTATGGTCTCAGATATTTGAAAAACAGAAAAGTAGTAGTATGTGTAGTTATAGTGGATCATAAGGAATATGCTAGAGATTTAGTGAAAGATTAAATTACATAATTTCCCATTCAATGAGAATTTTGGTAACTACTAGAACAAGAGTGTTGATGCCGGAGAATTTGTCCCTTCCCTCTGCCTCCAAGAATATTGGGATTTCATGTTACTTAACAATTAAAGATATTATTTCTAATGAGGGAAAGACCATTCTAGTGTAGTATTTTTTATGTATGTACATATTTATGCACAGTATATGCATGTATATATATGTCTGTATTTCAAGTATTCATTAATGGAACAAGTGATTTTGAAGTCCCAGCAAGCTCATTTCCATTTTCTTTTTGGAAAATGTTGAAAAATCATAGAAGATTCTTTATGGACTATTACTGGCTTGCAGTCTTGGAACTTTCATAGCCATTGCTTAGATCTTAAGGAAACCACTTATTCTCCTTTTGTCATATTAGATATATGAAACAAAGGTATTAGATTCATCTGATGTAAAACTGTTCCAGTGATCTCAGTGTGAAATTTATTCAAAAAAAAGAAGAAAAGTTCAATTGCTTTTGAAATTTTTCAGAAAATCACTATACTTTGTTGCTTTTTTTTCAATGACCACTATATTTTTTTTACTAGTTCCATAATTCTGTTTCTCTTACTGACACATAGGCATAGAGATATTTTTTTCAATTTGAGAGCCATTTGATAAGTTTTGTCTATATTTGGGAGGGTTGATAGGGTTGATAATAATGATGTTCTCTGACTTAGGCACTACCATTTATGGGGTTGATTCATAAGAGCAAAATACATCAAAGAGTCTCAATGATTTCCAAGTCACTGATCTTCTTAAATGAAAGACAAAAGCAAAGCATGTTGTAATTTAAGTTTTACATTGTATTTATATTTAATTTTTGTTTTGTTTAGTTTCTTGAAAAACTTACCTGATATGTGTGAAAAGCAAAAACTACCTCTTTGTATTTAATGCATAATCTTAAGGTCTGAAGATTACTTCTAGTAAAGAAATAAATGAGGAAATACATCATGTTTTCATTTATATATGTTTTCAATTTTGAACATTGTTATTGTTTCAATATGAGGTGTTCCCTGAAAATCTCATGTGTTAGGCAATGCAGTAATCTCCAGAGAGGGACAACTGGGTGGTAACAGTAAGCAAGTGTGGTATGGCTAAAGGAAGTAGCTCACAGGATGCATTGCTTGGACTATATCAGTCCACGGCTTCTTCCTTTCTCTTTGTTTCCTGATGCCATGAGCTGAGCAGCTTTCCTCCATCATGCCCTTCCACCATGAGGTTCTCTCTCACTTCAGGTCCTGAACAAGAGTTGACTGACCATGGACTGAACTTCTGAAACCATAAACCCAAATAACCTTTTTCTTCTCTAAGTTGTTATGAGGTATTTTGGTCATAGTAACAAAAAATCTTAGTATACAAACATCATAATTAATATTTATGCTTATGTATTAGCTAGTGTTAGTATTAACTTTCTCTTTTTATGGTGCTGGGGATCAAAAAGATGGCCTGGTGCATGCTAAGCATTCACATAACCACTGAAAACATCCATAACCCAATATTAATAATATTTGATAAATGAAAGTGATTAAGTGCTATAAAGAAATATGAAGATGATATAAAGAAATATAAACAGATTTAGAAAATGGGAAATAATAGTTAACTGTAACAAATTTTGTTTTGGGAAAGAAACATCCAAAACCTTACTTAAGTGTTTAACTCCATATATCTTGTGGCCCCACAGATATCCTTACCTGTCTTATTACAGTGTCATAGAGAGTACAATGAAATGGCACCACCTTCTTGGGGAGATATGTAGGGAGCCTTTCATACATATAGACACAAAGCATGAGCATCAGGATTGGATTTGGATCACAGATGTCAGTGGCCTAGTTCCAAAGAAGAGAAACATAAATTAGAGGATATACAGACAAAAAATACAAAGAAAGAATAGGTGTAATATACCAATATTGGATTATTTAAAACATTTTTAGCATGCTTTTGATGGACAATGACACTGAAACATAGATACAGAGAACAAAATATTATTCTGACTTAGAAGAGCTTGACCTAAGTGTTAAAGATGATATACTCTAATCAGAATACTGACCTCACATCACAAAGATGCTGAAGTAAAAGATGACAAGAAATTTTCAAGTAAAAGTCTATAGGAGTAAATGGCACATGAAATGTGGCATAAACAATGACTGGCACCTGTAATTTTTGCTCCTTAAGAAGCTGAGATAGGAGGGTCACAATTTCAAGGCCAGCCTGGGCAACTTAGCAAGACTCTGTCTCAAAATAAATTGCTTTAACAGAAGGGCTGGGGATGCAGCTCAGTGGCAGAATACTTGCCTAGCATTCACCAGACATGGGTTCAGTAACCAGTATTGGAAAAAAATAATTCTTGGACTTTAAATAGGTTGTGTCTGGTAACGGAGAAGGTACATTCTATCAGAAAGGCAGAGCGCCATGGCACAGTACCATGGAGCAAGGATATAAAGAAGCACAGAGTTTGTTCAGGAAAGGAGAACAATTTATATCATGCATAAGGTTAGAAGGGATAAGCAGTGGGAGAAGAGTGAGTTTCGGGTCACATTGTGGAGGTTCTGGATGACAGGATGAGGGATTTGATTTGATTTGATTTGTTTGGTACTGAGGATTGAACCCAGGGTTGCTTTACTACTTAGCTACATCCACAGCCCTGTTTATTTTTTATGACACAGGGCTCACTAAGCTGCTTAGGGCCTTGCTAAATTTCAGATGATGGCCTTAAACGTGTGATCCTCCTACCTCAGCCTCTGGAGTCACTGTAATTACAGGCAGTGCCACCATGCCTGGCAGGATTTGGTTTTTGAACAAGGAATAATGTGAGGAAAAGCAACAATGCAGGCAGATCAAGCTTATGGTTATTGGGAAAGTGTCTTATGCAGAACGAACAATTATAATGCAGAAAATGTAACTACACTGATAAACAAGATAAATTAGAGATGGCTGTTAAAATTGATATAAGATAAAATTCAAAGTTATAAAGGAATAATAGCTGGGGCAATAAATGTATCCAAAATGTAAGCCTGAAGATAAAAACATAGAATCATGCAGTTGTAGGAAGGACTCTATCAGTTTATGTAGTGCATGTGATCTCTTTGAAAAAGGTGAATGTAGTGGGGAAGATTTTCCACAGAAAAGAGGTATTGGGATTGGTGAGAGGCAGGCATCCAAAGACATACAAGACCACTAATAAATGAGCAGTTCTGTCACTGTCAATGTAAAGGGAGCTCTCAGCAGACCCATGAAGATCTACTATGACTTAATGGCATACAACCAAGTTTATAACTGAAAATGATCTGGGCCTAGTCTGGAAGTACAAGCAGTGTGAGCCAGGCTCTAATGTATTATGCAAGTGATTCTGAACTTTGGCAGCAGTTTCCAGATAATAATGATAGCCCCTCTGGTCTTCTGCTAGTTTACATTTCCTAATACACTCTTGTCTTTCTTTGGAAGAAGTAAGGATTTGTTCTTTCTTGTTTTGCCAATTAGGAATAACGTTTGCCAATGAAGGTGCCTGGGGAGGAGACTGATTTAAAAATAAGTAAATAAGTAAATAAATAAATAAATAAATAAGGAATTTTCCTGCCTACCTTAGCAGCATAGAAAGTTGCCTGTGGGTACGATTTGAGAATAACTTGGAAATATACCAAGTTACCCAAGTTTCTCATCAGTAGTCTATGACCTCACATCCCTCAGTAAAGATAGTATTAAACAATAGACAAAAGTAAATGGTTCAAGAACAAATTAAAGACAAAATATAGAACATAGAGTGTAAGTCCCACATGCATCTTTAAAGTGTAAGAAGGTAAATTTCAAAGTGAAGAATATGTCCTGGCTGGACCCCATGTATTGAACCAGTCCATGAAAGATATGATCCCAAGAGGGGCTATCTAAGGTGAGGAGAGATTTGTTTGTTGGAAAAAAAGGGAAAACTAGTGGAAAAACACTATGTATGGGCTTACATATGGGGTTAATGAAAGTCTTTTGAACCTGCTTTAGTATCTATGATACAAAATTGTATTAGTAGAAATATAGAAATAATGTAAAAATGTATCTTTGAAAATATGATAAAAATCCAGTAATTTGGTAATTTAAAAATGTTTCTCTTAATGGAAAAACATGACACTATACTTAGAAATCAAATAAAGGAACATTCTCATCTTTATGATCTATTTAACTGAAAATAATCTAAAGCAATTTAATCCTAGACTTTTTAAAAAGGCAAATGGTAAAACATGTTTCTTTTTAAATTTTTTTATTTGATCTTTTTAGAAATACATGAGATGCTATACATACATGGAGTATAACTGGTTCTAATTAGAACACAATTCTTGGTGTTGTATACAATATGGATTTTCACTCATGTTGTATTCATATATGAACATAAGAAAGTGATGTCTGATTCATTCTACTGTCTTTCCTATTCCCATCCTTCCTCAATGGATTAGACAAAGGGGAATGAAAGCAAGTTATGCTTCTCTGAAAAATATGTAAAATTCCTTTTAAAAACATAATCATAACTTTTCCTATATAGATCCAACCTTCTAGAACATCAATTGTATTAGTCCTTTTTCCCCATGAAGACAGCATTTTTCTATTGCATTAACAAAAGAACAGGGAAGTTAACTGCTATCATTTGGATGTTGAATATCCCTTCAAAATTCCATGTGTTAAAGTCTTGGTGCCCAGTGTGGCATTACTGGAAAGTAGTGGAACTTTAATGGGTGATGATAAGTGAGAGGTCTTAGGTCAATGGGGGTGTACCCTTGGAGGGGATAGTGGGACACTGTCTCTTCCTCTTTCTCTTTCATTTCTAAACCATGCGATAAATACTTTGTCCTTCCCATACTACTGCTGTGATGTGCTACCCTTATCAGAAGCCCAAAACAATGGGGTCTCTTGATTTTAGACTAGAACTTCCAAAAACATGAGGCAAAATAACTCTTCTATCTTTACAATTTATTTCAGGCATTGTAGTAATGGAAAGTTGACTAATACAAATAAGCAAACAAAATAATAATAGAAAAAATGCAAAAGTAGAATCTGGTGAACTAAATTCAAGTTCTACTTCTATAGAGTGCCATGCTCTTGACTAGTTGAACTGGATTTCCTAGGCCTCAGTTTCATCATCAGTAGCTAGAAGAGGTGATGTGGTCCTGGCTTCATGATGGATTTAAAGTGCCATTACTAACATTGCCCAAAGACATACTGCAATCCTATAGATACCACTGTTGATTTCCCAGAAGCCAATTCCTTCTTTCATCTTTACTAAGAATCCCACTTTTTGTAGGAGTTCTATTCCTTTTATCCACCACTGGTTTAGTCACAAACATTACACAATTATTATCAATGATATGCAATTAGAAATATGCTGTGAGGTCATTGGAAGAGGTTTAGTTTTTGCAAAATGAAAAGCACAATAAGAAGTGCTACTCAGTCTCAGATCTAGCTACATGAATGAAGGTGTTATGTGAAAATTTCAGCAGGAATTTTGGATTTCTTAGTGTACATGTCTAAAGGAAGCCAGAAGGCTGAGAATGGCTGAGCAAAAAGAGTCCTTCATAACTTTATTGGAACACTTGAATTCCTAGAATTTTTACTGCCTGACTAAATCTGATGCAAAATATTCCATTTCCTTATTTTTCATTAAACCTACTTTTAGACTCATGAATTTGGCTATTTAAGACTTAAAGTATCCTAGGTAACAAGACAAAAGCAAACAATAAATTTTAAGGACATAGATTATCTATTCACCCTTAGCTCCCATCATTACTCATTAAATTATATACAACCTGTATAAATTATTTATTAGCTTTATTTTCTTATGTCCACTTTTGCATGAGGGAATAAAATATACATGTTATCCTGATATCAATCAATTCCCATAATATTTCTGCTTTAAGTAAAACCTATATAATTAAAAAGGAGAATACTTAATAGCTGTATGTTCCTGTTAGAAGGATTCTACAAGAGGATATAACATATACACAGCAAATTATCCAGCTGATTTTCCAGTTGTAACAAAGGACATAATGAAAGTGAAACTTAAATATTAATAAATAAGTCCAGTGCTAAATGTCACAGGAATCAAATGTGGACCAGTATAAATATCTACATTAATTTACTACTGATGAGTTAACTTAAGGATGACATTTCTAAATCTGCCATTTGACCTGGTTGGTAACTTTGGCATCACAATGGGCTAATAAAGCCTTGGTTATTATCTTCTATGTTAATTGTCAATTTCCTCATTAATCAAATCTTGAAATGCCTCCACATTTTATCTCGCAGATATTTAAGTATTTTCCTCTATATAATAATATAGGCAGCTTGACTCAACATATCTGAGGAAATCATAAAGAAAAGGAGTGAATCATAATGTTTGATTGATTATATTTCTAAACAAAGTTATTTGAAGTTTCTTGCGAACTGCTACCAAAGTCTCAAGAGCCAGCTTAAACACTGGGTCCCATGTAACTTTTCCTGGTTTCTTTATTATAATGATTTCCTGCCTCTGAGTCTCATAGTACATTGTTTCTCTATTACCCCATTAACTGTCTTCTCTGCATCAGTCTTTTCTCATTTGCCTATTATTAGTGTGAAAAATCTTTCATTATGTTTTATATACGAAATGTCTCCACAAAGCTAATGATTAGATTATGAGAGTTATAACCTAATTGGCGGATTAATCCATTTGATATATCAATATTTTGAAAGGACTTTAGTACTGGGTGATAACTGTTGGCAGGTTGAGTATGGCTGGAGTAAGTAGGTCACTGGGGGCATGCATGCCTTTGGGGTTTACATTTTCTCCTCAAAATGTAATGCCCTTCTCGTTAGCTCTCTCTGCTTCCTGGCTGCCTGAACTGAGCAGTTTTTCTCTACTGCACCCTTCTGTCATGCTGTTCTGCCTCATCTCAGGCCCAAAGCCATGGTGTTAGCCAACTATGGTCTAAACCTCTAAAACCATAATGCCAAAATAAATTTTTAAACCTCCTATAAATCATTCTGGTTAGGGATTTTGGTCATGGCAACACAAAGCTGACTAACACACCTTTGAAGATGTAGGTAGAGTTTAACTATATTTGTACCTCTGTAGGGTCTATCCTGTATCATTCATGAAGGAGATTCAATAATTTTTTGAATTGACGGAAACTGTAAAAATTTCATTCTTCCAAACCAAGGTCTTTTTTAAGATGTTGTCTTCAAAACTGCACTATTAAAAAGAACTCTCTGACCAAAAATTTCTCTTTACACCTCTACCAATAGGAAAGAATTTAATTTTCAGGCCTGTTGCAAAATGACTTTAATATGCAAATTACTTTAACATAGAAAGATAGTAAGCAATTGTAAAGCTCATTTCTCCAGCAATTATAAAGAACAATTATATACAGACTATATTTGGACCTGAGCATCAATCTTTTTGGAAGATAGAATGAAAAATTCATAACTGTCCTTTCTTTTTGCTCTTCTTTTGTAGCTAGCCACCAGATCTAGACAACCTCATGATTTCTCTTACATCAACTTATTATTATCAGTCACCATTCAAAATGATATGACTAGAAAAGTAATTTCTGTGCTCTTGGACTAATTGAAATTACATTCTGCTTGATCTGTGCTCCCTGTGGATAGCTTTTCTCCTCTCCGTCCATCCTGATCATTGTTACAAAAGTAAAAGCCTTTATTCCCATAATATACACAGTAACCTCCTGATTTTTCTGCTGATATCCAATATCCCATATGTACCTATATTTATATCTCTAACACCAAACTTTAACTATGGAAACCTATTCACAAAATATCCTTAATGGACACAATTTTCCCATACTACCAGTCTGTTTATGCTATTTCCTCTGAGCAAACAACTTCTTTCACCCCTTGAAATCCAAATACAAAACAACTTCTTTCACCCCTTGAAATACAAATACAAAATAAGCTTTTATGATCCCAACTTAGTCATCCCTTCTTCACAATGTCATTGGTGTAACAGACTACATCACATTGATCTCTTCCTTCTTCTGAATTCTGACTACATGTTTTGCAAATATTCCTATTGATATTTGATTAAATGAGCAAAACATCTTTTAACAGATATGCATCATGATGGCTCAATAAATTTATATATTTCTCAAAGTTAGGAATCATTTATTATATCATTTCATTATCCCTAAGTAACAAAGGGGTCATAAGATAGTAAACACATAATATATATTTGAATATTGCCATTGAAAATTTGGTGTGAAAGGTCAAATGGAATTATTACTTGCAATTAAACTTATATAATGAAAATGTGTATTGCCATTGTGACCTCTATACAGATATTTATTTCAAACCAAAAGTGAAAACTTTCATTATCTGATACTAAATTACAAGACAATTCAACATCTATATTCCTATAATTACCTCTCCTTTTAATTCATTTTTAGACCAAGAGTAATATTAATAATGTACTTAAGCTTTGTTCTTATGGTTTCAGACACCTAGACTAGAAGTTCTTTTTATTACATATACTTGATGAGATATAATCATTATATTATATGTAACATCAAATAATTATATATTTTTTAAAAGAGAGAGTGAGAGAGGAGAGAGAGAGAGAGAGAGAGAGAGAGAGAGAATTTTTAATATTTATTTATTTATTTTTTTTAGTTCTCGGCGGACACAACATCTTTGTTGGTATGTGGTGCTGAGGATCGAACCCGGGCCGCACGCATGCCAGGCGAGCGTGCTACCGACTGAGCCACATTCCCAGCCCCATCATCAAATAATTATATATTATAACTTTTAACATCTAGTAGGTTTTTGTAGAGTCATGTTTCAATTACCAAACTTTAAGTATGAATTTTTTCAATTTAGATTTAAAATTTGGGAACAAAGGGAGATTATAAAGGAGTAAACAAAAAAGAAACTCATAAAATATATAGAATGTGTTCTATAAAGGAACCAACCTGTATGTTCAAGTCAAAGCCAATTTCATAAAGACTATTTATAATAATCAGACAATTGTGAAGATACTGTTCAGGACGTCTTGGTCGTGTGTACATATTTACAAAATGAGACTTGATCTGGAAAAGGAAACAATCCTTATTAATAGAATAAAACTGCTGCTTTTCAAGTGTCTTCTGTAGTGCAGTAAGGACTCATGTAAATATTAGCATTTGTAAGTAACAGATTATTGCAATAAAGTGCACAAATAAGCAAAAAGGCAATGCTAGTCATTCAGATTCATCTTTTTGAATTAAAACTAAGACATTTAAAATAATAAATTTGCAGAATATTGTGCTTCAGCCTTTAATCACCAAGTTCTGTTAAATGACTTACCAAAAATGGGCAATAGGCTGCCAACTGTGTTGCCAAAACAAGGCCATCTAAAAGGTCTTTGTCAAAATTTACTATCCATCTTTCAGAGGGAACAGAATCTATTTCAAAGAAAAAGAGTAAACAACAGTAGTTTTACTTTGTTAAAAGATATCTTATGGAAAATTGAGCTATAATGAGAGAAAATTTTGCCTTTGTTTAGAGAACAAAAAGCATATTATTTTGCTAAGAAAAATAAATTTCAAACAGAGTTTAGTATCATGAAATATATCTATCTGTAAGGCTTTAAAGACAAGCTGTCCCCTTCATTTCAACATGAAACTCTTTGAAAAACATACTCTCATGCACTAATGTAAGAGAAATCCAATATTTAAAGACTATTCATCTTATTGAGTATCTTGAGGTTCATATGTTTAATCAACAATCATGAACATGTATGGGTAAGGAGGTTCAAAAGATGTGCTACTACTTGAATCTCTACAGTTGTAGTGTCAGATTTCTTTATTTGTTGTAGAAATTCTTACACATGTAGAACATGTGGAAGAGGTTGGAGATTTATATTTTAAACAAATCAGAACTGACCTATAAAAGATAATACAAGGGACTGGGTATGTACTACAGTGGTAGAGCACTTGCCTAGCATGCATGAGGCCTTAGTTTCTATACCCAGAACTACATAAAACAAAAAGAATATAAGATGGAGGAATAATGAAAGAAATCTCAACTACAGAAATGATCACTATGCCAAGACTGGAACAAAAAGTATCTGCATATTAAGTAAGTATCTGAAAAACTTTCCTAAATTGGGAAGAGGGGTAGAAATAATTGCTAGGTTGAATGCAACATTTTAAGTTTCCAAAACAGCTAAGATTCTTCTTAGTTTGAGGATAACTTCCAATCAGAAATCAAAGAGAAAAAAATGGTGATCTTCACAAATACCCCCAAATTCCTTGAATCCCATTTTATATAAAGAAAAATCCAAAATAGGATGTATTCATGATGCATATTTTAATTTCACAAACTAGGATTGGTTTACATCTACAAGGGAAAGACTTCAGTTTTTCTCTTGAAATGTAGATATTCCCTACTTCACAGAAAGTTCTTGGAACTTTTTCACCTGAAATGCTTCAAAATTTTTTTTTCTGATTGAATCATATGACTTTATGTTTGATAACAGGTATAGTGTCATCAAAACAATTATTTTAAATGCAGATTGCTGGTTGGCTGAATAATGATAAACCAAATGTGCTTCTCCTATTTTCCAGCCTTGAGGCATAATTGACAAATAAAAGTTGTACATCTTTAAGGCATATGTGGTATTTTGATATAGGCATATCTTCTGTAAAGATTCCCATAATCAAGCTAATTAATATACCTGTCACTACACGGTTACCATTGTATGTGTGTGTATGGGGGGGTGGGGATCACTTAAAATCTACTCTCAGCAAATCTAAATGTGTTTCTCTTAATTTACCATCTATGGATTTCAATAAAAATATAGATTTTTCACTTTTATAACCAGTATTTATTTTTCTCAGAAGAGATGAAGTAATATTGTTTCATCTGAAAAAGGCAATTTACTAGCCTTTTACATTGATGGTAATCAGTCAGCCAGCAATGGATATAAATTGTATCCACCAGAGAGCAAATGCACATCCTGTATAGACATTAGCGAAAGGATAAAAACTCCATTGCAAGAGTTTAGTCTTCATCATCTGGAGCTTTTTTTCCAAGCCCACCATTGCCCACCAAGTTCCTTAATGCAATCCAACCCTGGCAAGGGTACATAGGAGTCTTCCTTGTCCCTATACCAGGTCTGCACTATGGAGAACATGATCTACAGATTCACTCCAATTATCTCTGTGAGTCACCAGTGGATGAAGTTCAGGGAGTGAAACTTTCAAGAGAATGCAGGATACATGAAGTACAGCCCCTTGGAGCTTAATAGTCTCACTGGACTCAATCAGTTAAACAAACACCCTAACTCAATTCTTCTAGTTGTGTTTACCATAAGTATACCATGGCTATCATCTCATTTGTTCTTGTAAGAATCCAGTCCCTCCACGGATTTTGGACTACTTTCTTGCCTTGCAGGCCCAGTTTTCTGGATATTTTAAGAAAAATCCAGAATTTGTTGTTTGTCTCAATTTTGCTGTTATTACAAGGGTGGGAGCAGAGTTTTTTTCTAGTTTTCCATTCTCTTCAGCAGAAATAAGTGACACCTATTTTTTGTTCAACCTATCACAACTTTGGAGCTGCTTTGATTATTACTTACCAGTAGTCATAAGCTGTTGATGCTCAAACATGGCTTTCAGTAAGAATAGAATGGCAGTGATATTTCAGAACAATGTTGGGAAGAAGTAAAACAAAACTTTAAAGATCTTCTTTAATCTCACATCCCATGCCTGTATCTTGTTTTTTATATCCAAGGCTGCTGCCAAGCCCTCACTACAGTTACCATAGCCTTAGGAATGTCAAAGATTCTCTTTGCTTTCATGATAGTTCTTTTGATACAAAATATTCTTTCTTGTATACTCCCCCTAAGGTTTTGCTTCTCAGTGTGAGCTAGGCGAATCAGCAATACCAGCATCAAATGGAAGCCTGCTAAAAATGCAGAATTTTAGGTCCAATCCAGCATTTAACTAAGCTATAAAAATAGCTTAACAAAATCTCTCCAGGTGATTTGTATTCACATTACCATCTGAGAAGAGTTGGACTAGGTTGTTCTGTTTTGTTTGTTTGAGAGGGAACCAGCAATCTACTCTAGTGACAATTTGTCAGGAACCAGAAAATTCAAATGATGATTGACACGTTTTAAAATTTTATTTTGCAAGTTACACTTTTGTCTATTTTTACTTGACATTACCTCAAATATAAAGATACATTAAAATAGTAATAAAAATGCTGATCCTAAATGGTATTAAGAATTAAGAGACTTTGAGATTAAACATAAAATTGAATCATTTAATACGTGCTCTCACTTTTTAGTATAATTTCTATGTAAATTCTATTTTAGCTTATTATAACTAGATTTTTTAAAAATTTAGTTGAACATGGACACAATACCTTTGTTTTATTTATTTATTTATGTTATGTGGTGCTGAGGATCAAAGCCAGTGTCTCACACATGCTAGGAAAGCACTCTACCACTGAGCCACAACCCCAACCTCTATAACTAGATATTTATAACAGAAATAATTCATATAACAAATTTCACCCACTTTTAATTGTTCAATTTATTGCCGTTTAATACATTCAGAGTTGTATGATCATTTCTACTATGTTTAGAATATTTTAACTCATTTTTTACTTGACAAAAAATAATTCTATATACTTAACAGGTAGAGTGCAAAATTTCAATACATGAACACAATGTTTGATAATCAAATTAGGATAATCAGTATATCCATCATCTCAAACATTTATCATTTATTTGTGTTGAGAACATTCAAAATCCTCTCTTCTAGCTATTTTGAAATATACAGTAAATTATTAACTATAGCTACCTTATTATGCCATATAACTTATTTTTATCAACACAAATAAATCCCATTGCAAAATTCTTGCTGTCTCCATATTCTAGAAAAACAAATCTTCTGTATGAAATTGCCTATTCTGGGCATGTCAAAAAAATGGAATCATAAAATATGTGCTATCTTGTATTCCAGTGTTTTCACTCAGCATATTTTCATCCATGTTTTAGCATGTATCAAAGCTTCACTAATTTATATGGCTAAATAACATTAGAACTTTTGAATGCATATATATTTAATACATATATTCACATAGTATAATATTATTATTATGTATATTAATAAAGTAGAATATATGCACACACACAAATAAAATGGTTTGTTTATCCCTTTATAAGTTTATGGGCATTTGTGTTGACTCTGATTTTTGGCTATTATGAATAATGATGTTATGGACATTCATACAAGGTTTCTGTGTGGACATATGTTTTCTATTATTGTGAGTAAACAAACTAATGAGTAAAATTGATGGATGATATCACTAATCTAGTTTTTAGAAGACTTTGGTTTTTAAAAGAACTTTTAGGGTCATAGCAAAACTGCTGAGAAAGTACAAAGATTTCCCATATATTCTGTGCCCCAATGCATGCACATCCTCTCTTATTGGTTAATCTATTTTTTTAACATTTTGAGAAATTGCCAAACTATTTTCTAAAGTGATCCCACCATTTTACAATCCATTTAGCAATGCATGTAGAGTTCCAATTTCTACAAATCTTTGCCACTACTTGCTATATTCTCCCTTCCTCCTCCCCCTCCTCCTCCTCCTCCTCCTCCTCCTCCTCCTTCTTTTTTTTTTTTTTTTTGCAGTGCTAGGAATAAAACTCTCTTTTTAAAATTTCAGTTATGCAAGTTGGTGTCAAGTGCCATCTCATTGCTGATTTACTTTGCACTTCCCTAATGACTAATTATGTTGAGTGTCTTTTCATGTACTTATGAACTATTTACTTATCTTCATTTTAGAAATGTTTTTTGAAATCCTTTGCCCATTTTTCAATTGGGTTATTTTTCTTTATATCTTAATGCGAGGTTTGTATATATTCTCAAAACAAGTGCCTTGTTGCATATATGATTTTCTGTTTCTGCATCCATTGAAATATTCATTTGCCTTGTTTTTACTGTGATATTCTGTATTACAGAATCCACTTTGCACACAAGATAAATTTCATCTGGTAATTATTGTTTAACTCTTTGTATATGTTGCTGGATTCTGTTTGCTAGTAATTTTGAGGATTTTTTAATATGTATCATGAAAGATAACAGTACACTTTTTGTTTTAAAACACATTTGAAATGCAATGTAATATATGCTTCAATGCAAAAATAAATCACACTGTAGAGGAAGTTAAATTATGAAAATATGTAAATTAATGTTTATAAGATAATTATGTACAACAGATATAAGATCAGATCAATCATGTGAAAGTAAAATAACATATGTGATACTTTGTAGAATTTCCACATAAATGATCATTAAACTGGAAAAAAGTAAAAAATTTTTAAAACCAAGATGATAATTACTATGGAGAAAGAATAAATTTAAAAATGAAGGCATAAGAAAACAGTATT